TTAAATGCACCAGCTTCTAGTGCTGGAATCGAAAAAAAAATTTTCAACTTTTGGTCTTGTTCATTCGAAGTTAGGAAACCAATTGGGGGTAGAAAAAGCAGCAAAGCTTGTATTTATATATAGAACATTAAACAATGATATATTGAATAATTTTGATGAAATATAATATTGGTAAAGATATTTGGTAATAATATTGGTAATAATATTGGTAAAGAATATAGTTCACTCAAATAAAATATGTTATTCTTTTCCTAATTTAAAATGATAACTAAATACCGCATTTTTTAGTAAAAACGTAATTTAAACCAAAAAAACCATGGTTTTTTTGTTTTTTTTAAAAAAGCCTATGGTTTTTGGTTTTTTTGCAACCCTGAATGTAAATACTGATTAAAAATTGTTTAAAGTATTTAAACATTATTTTAAAAATTTATAGCTACCAAAATACTAAAATTTACTAAAATTTAGTAAATAAATATTAAAAATATTTTAAACAGTTTTCAATAATTATTTACTTATAATAATTATTTACTTTTATTATATTTGCAACAAAAGCGTTTATTCAAGTCTTAAGTAAAATAGTTTTCTTATAGTAAATAAAGTAAAATTGTCCACCAGTATTCAAAAGTTCAGTAACTCATGTATTCAAAAAAATGCCTTTAAATCCACTTTTTATCTTAGGCTAAAACTAAAAAATCATTGTCACAGCACTGGTTCTAACTTGAGGAGGAGAGGAAGATGGGAACTCAAAAACATCACCCCCAACCCCTAAAGATTGCAGGAAAAAAAGCAGTATATATATATATATATATATATATATATATATATATATATATATATATATATATATATATATATATATATATATATATATATCATGGACAGGAAAGGCGTGCGATCGCACTCTATTCCTCACCACACACTTATCATTTTTTTGCGATAACTTAACCACGGTTAAAATTTTGAAAACATTTGAAAAATGCACTTCCAACAACTTTACGCTCACTAACTTATTATTATTGAATGATCTCAGAAAAATAAATTTTTAAGAACCATAATTGATGAAAATATCTCTTGAAAAGCTCACATAAAAACAATTAAGTATCAAAAACATAAATCTACTTTATTAGGCAAGACATATGTAATCACAAAATAAATTAAAACTTGTTTTAAATTATTTTGTTTATTTTGTTTATTTATTATTAGTTTTTAAAGTATTTAAATAAAGAATAAGGTAATAGAGCAAGATATTGTTTTTAAAGACTGTATACTATAAAAAACATTTAAATTATCAAAAGATATTATATTATTAAAAAATGTATTTTTTACAATGAATATAAATGTTATTAAAAGATTTTGTATAATTTTATAAATAACAACGAAAACAATTTTTTAAAATAAAGTTTTTAATGAATCCATAAGTTTAATAGTTCAAAACATAACAAAGTTATTTAGCTTTTTTTTGTTATCAATGTAAACTTTCTAATAAAATTTGTGTACACTAAGGTTAACGCTTTCAAATAAAGTTTTAAAATGCCATTAAATATCATAGAATATTTAAAAAAACTTTTATTTCAAAAGTATTTTTTGAATGATGAATGTAGTTTTTTTTTTAACAATTTGACTTCTTAATTTAATAAACAACAACAAATACGTTTCAATAAACTTTTTAAAAAAAAACTTTTCGATAATTTAAATTAAGTTAGTTTTTTATTAAACGATAATTAGATTATTTTTTTATTTAAAAGAGTTCGCCTAATATTATAAAAACATTAGAAAAGATGAAATTTTTATAGTTGATCTCGTTGGTTTTTAAAGTTTATTATTAACTGTATTAGGAGAATTTTATAAAATCTTTTTATTATTTTTTAATGTTTAATTAAAATTATTTATACTATTATTATCTTTTTTTTTATGTATTCTTTTTTTGATTGATATGTAAAAATACATAATCATATAATTATTTTTATTTAGACATTTAAAAAAAAAAAAAATTAATTGCTATTCTATTAACATAAACGAAATCAGTTGGAAACTTGTTAAACCAATGCTACGAGTTATTCAACTTTAACATAATTGCTGTTTAATTTATTTTTTTCCTTTATCGGTTTTTTTCAGCGCTTTTTTAATTATCTAAAAAAAGATTTTCAAGCTTTCAAAAAAAATAAATACATGCATGGTCAAGATTGGAATGCGATCACACAGCTTTTCTGTCCATGACTGATTTATATATACAGCCCTCGAAATTACACTCAGCTTTCTGCAATGCCAAGTGTTTTAGGTTAGCAAAATATTGCCGACCTCATTATTATGTTGTTGTTTTTTTTGTGCTTATTATGCATTTATCAGACTTGGTCGGGAAGCGGGAGCGATCGCTCTCGAATACTGAGCACGGAAATTTAGTTGTGAAAAACTGGCCAGGTTTTTTGGATGTTTTGAGAACATTTAAGTTTATGTATAAAACAAAAAAATTTTGTTTTACGGACATTTACGAAACATAAAAAACTTGAAAGTTCTCAAAACATCTTGGTGCGGAAGAATAAAAAGAATATTCACGAACACTAAAAAACCTGCCAAATTAACTAACAAACTAATTCCATTGGTAAATAAAGTTCTACAGTATTCTGTTAAAATGTTTTAGAAATAGTTGTGTTTTTTTTATCTCCGTTGCTTTTTCTTTATCTTAAAGTCACGCTAGTAAAGTTTGATTGGTTTATTTAAATTCACAGCTGCGAATATGATTAGTTAATTTTGAAAATTTTATTTGTACAAATTTTAAAAAAATTGCTACTATAACATGTGCGTTTAGCATTGTGGTATCTCAATTGTTTATTACTCACGGAGTTCAAACATCGACTGATATAGGGATAGGCGCAGTGAGTTTACATACATCGACTGATTTAGTGATAGACGCAGTGAGTGTACATACATCGACTGATTCAGGGATAGGAACAGTGAGTGTACATACATCAATAAGGGTTTTGGTTTGAGCGTGCATTCTTTAAATAAAAGAAAGAAAAAAACTCAACCAATCAGAAATTACTACCGTGACTTTAAGAAAAAAATTAAAGCAACGGTACCGCTGCGCGAGCAACAGCGTTTAGAAATTATATTCACGATTTGTTACGCTTTGAGATTTCTAATATAAATTGTTTTAAGAATATATTATCAATACTACAGCTCATTCTCGGAGCCACATCTGCAAAGCCATAAATCTTATAAACTTTTATTATTTGTTTACAAAAGTAAATGTTTTAAACATATATTATTTAAATTGTCAAAATTTTGAAAGTTTATTATAAATTATAGATTTTATTAGTATATTCTTATTTTTATTTTTATTTAAAAAATATGTATTTTTTATGTAAATGTAATTTTTGGTATCTGTTTTTTATCGTAATGTAATCTCTTAAAGCAATTTTTATGATTTAATTTGTAAACAATAACTTACAAAAATTATTGCGTTTTCAATGAAGCTATTAATAATAATTAAAGTTAATAAAACTAATCATGTAACAAACATATAAGAAGTTTCTGGTTACTAAACACAAACAATGCAGACAAAGTAACTCGCGGATGAACAAGCTCTGCGCTGACCTGATATATATATAGCAAGTTATTAGACTGGGTGAATAAAAATGAGCAATTGCTTTTACTCAGTAATTGGTCAGCTTTACATGAATAAAAACAATTTTAAAACTTTAGCAGTTTTGCTTAATTTTTTGTTCACGTAAAACTGAGCAATTACTGAGTAAATTGCTTTACTTTACGTGAATAAAAACTTGAGCAAAACTGCTAAAAAGTTTTTATTCACGTAAAGCTGACCAATTACTGAGTAAAAGCAGTTACTCATTTTTGTTTACCCGGTCTAATAACTTGCAATATATATTTGTGTTCTGTTGTGACCTCAGGTCAGCGCAGTGCTTGTTCATCCGCTATTTACTCAGCCTATTAGATATAAAGAAAAGTTTCTAGATATTGGTTTACTAACTCTAATTATTTTTGCTTAAGTTGCCATTCTTAAAAAAACTTGCTATACTTTTTTCTGCTTTAAATACTAATTAAAAAGCCCACTCACTTAACATCATCAGCGATATTGTGAAGCAGTTTCGCTTCCTCATCATAAAGAATTTGTAACCTTTTTAGTTGATATCTAGTTAATTTAATTTCTATAGTAATTCAATAACTTAATTATTTCATTTGTTTATCTTACTAAGAAGAATTGTTTCAAATTTATTAAACTTTTCTAATTACGCAAAACATAGAATAGGTATTAAAAAAATTAACTTTTTTATTTCTAAAATAATTTAGCTTAGATAAAGTATACAGGCCTCAGCGAGAGTAAATAAGCGCGAGACAGGAGAAAAGCTCTCCTAAAACCAAAATGGCAAGTCAAGTGAGCTACTCTTCTAAACTGCTTTTTACGAAAGCTTTTGGTTTTTGCACAAGCTATCTTTTATTTATATAAAAATTGCTTATTAAATACAAAATTTAGTTTTATACTTGCTACTAGCATATGTTTGTAACATTAATATTACAATAATATACACATAACAAACGTCATTTATTGCGCCATGTAAAATTCTCAAATAATTTAAAAAAGTTAAAGTCTTTAAAAATTAAAAAAATAAAGATAATTTTATGACGTTGAATTTATATTAGGCTATTACAATAAGTATTTTTTATTTAAAACAAGGCCTATATAAATGTATATACACATATGCATACACACAAATATATACATATATATAACACATACACACACATATATGTATATATATATATACATATATATATATATATATATATATATATATATATATATATATATATATATATATATATATATATATATATATATATATATATATATATGTATGTATGTATGTATGTATGTATGTATGTATGTATGTATGTATGTATGTATGTATGTATGTATGTATGTATGTATGTATGTATGTATGTATGTATGTATGTATGTATGTATAATTAAAAAAAACTACCTTTTTCACAAAGTCTTCCAATGGCTAAAATGAAAAAAAGACATAATAAAAACAAAATAAAAACAAAAAAAGCAAGATCTGAAAAAATTAAAAATTAAAAAAATTAAATGTACAGAAGTTTTGATTAACTCTTAATAATGACTGAGACATAAATTTATGTAGCTTGTTAAATTTAAAAGTCATATTGCTTTACTCTATAATCATTTTTAAAAAACCAATTTTTAAAAAAATAGTTCTACATATGAGCTGTTTATTTTAAAAGTGGTATAAGATACCTTTTTAAAAAAATCAAGTTATCGGAGACTATGATTGCAATGAAATGGTATCTAATTATTTGTGAAATAATTTAAAATTTTTGTGTTGAAAATTATACTTGAAATGATTAAATTATATTTGTGAAATTTTCACAAATGAAGAGATACTGTTACATTGTAATCATTATTATTAATAATTTAATTTTATATGAAAAGGTGACATATGCCACTTTCAAAATAAATGGCTCATATATTAAACATAAAAACAGCTATTATTTGATAAAATGATTTGTAAGTTTTGTCAATCGTTAATGTAAATATAACAATAGCAGTATACAATTTGTGAATACAAAGATTATTATTGATGCAAACTATTAATATAACATATTTGAATAACAAGCTATTGAATCTAAGTAAAAAATAACTTCAGCCATATTGATTCCATTCCTAAAAAAATTAATCTGGTTGTTAAACTCTAGAAGTCCGATTCAAGAAAATAATTAAGTAATTAAAGTCTAATGCAAAAAATTTAGTCTCAAGGCTAAATATCTTTAAATCTAAATATCTTTAATTGTTAGAACACATTTTCAAAGTCAATTATATTTTATCCGAATAAATTAGGGCTGTTCAGTATGCTAATTTATTTTCAGAACATAGCTAATTAAAGTTTTCCCCATTCAACTATCATATTGTGGTTCAAAAATATTTTTTACTAAATTTTATTATTTGCCCTGAAGGTCCCTGAAAGCCCCTAAACATTTGACAGGATCTTGCAACAATAAATAATAAACATTTTTGCTTCAATATAAATACACAATTATTATTTTTTTTTTTTTGGTAACATTAAATGCATAGTAATCGTAACATCCAATACAAAATAATTTGATGACAAAATCTTACATATAATAACAAGTAAGCATTTATTTAATGCATACAAGCATATATTTTTACTAATAACAAGCCTGTTTCTTATATATTTATGAAATTTATCTTTATGAACTGAAACTTAAATCATACCAACACCAGGTTGTTTCCGACAAAATATAAGATCTGGGTGATGTTTCGCCATATTCGATAGTGCTTCCTTGACTCCGAACTTAGTTTTTGCGTATCTTATCTGTTATTTATCTGTTTTAAGTTGTACGCTTTTTTATTTTAACTGTTTTCTTTTTAAAGTTTTTAATTGTTTAAGCTTTTTAACTGTTTGAAAAATATATTAGCAGCAACTTCTTTTTTTTTTGTAGATAATAAGCAGCGGCGGACTCAGCATAACGCGTGGGAGACTAGAGGGGGGGGAGGAGACTTAAGCTTATTCCCCCCCCCCCCCCCCAACTCTCACCCCATCACTAACGCCCCTAAAAATATTTAAAAAAGTTGCGTTTATTTTAAACGTTTTCTTATTTATTTTAATTGTTTACTTCTTAAGGTTTTTAAATGTTTAACCTGCTTGACTATATATAAAACATGTTAGCAGCAACTTCCTTTTTTTTTAGATGATTAAACTAGACACTAAATAATCGGCCTCGATTTATCATCTGGTATCGATGCAATACCATACAGTTTCAGTATCGAAATCACGCGATACTAGTATCGAAAGTATCGTTTATGTTGGTATTGTTTGGTATCGTTTAGTCTCGATGCAGTATCGACATCAAGATCACGCGATACTGGTATCGAAAGTATCGTTAATGTTGATATCGTTTGGTATCATTTGGTCTCGATGCAGTATAGACATCAAGATCACGCTGGTATCAAAAGTATCGGTCATGTTGGTATCGTTTGGTCTTGATGCGATACCTTACAGTACCGATATCGAGATCACGCGGTACTAGTATCAAAAGTTATCGCTTATGCTGGTGTTGTTTTGTTCAATATAAAGGATGAGGAAAAATTTTTTCAATTTTTTCTATCGCAATTAAAAGGAAAGACAAGATTTTTTTTTAATATTTGTTCCTATATTAAATTATTGCAAATAATTAAATTATGTTAAACAGTGTGTACGGGGCAGACAAAAAGGAAAGAGGGGTGGTATTCGGAGTACTGCCCTCCCCCCTACCTAGGAAATGTCAAACTTCAAAATATTATTGATAAAACTAAAAAAATAAGAAAAAATATAAAAAATAGTAGTTCAAAATTTCATTGTTTTTCTCAAAAAAAAAGTATTTATATAACCATTCATTATATTTATTAGCAAACTATCTTATAACCTTTCTAAAATCAATCTAAATGATCAAATGAAACAGTTGTTTTATTTAAGAAAAACGTAAATCTTAAATTTTTTTTGGTCGGAATACCCCTCTAGAACAATGACCTGGATCCTCCTCTGCTGTTTGCATTTTCTCAAATCATTATTCCTACTCTATTGAATTTTTATTCCATTCAGGCAAAAATTTTCTGTCTGGAATTAATCGAAATTAAAATTAGTTTAAGGGGAATAGTTTTGCAATCATTAAAGATAGTTTTTCATATAATTCTCCAAAAGGAATTGCTTGTAATGCAATTTTAAACAATTATTGTAAAAGAGCATTAGAAATGATTGTTCGAATTAGTTTTATAACTATCTTTAAAGAGAGTTTTTAATATAGCTCTCCAAAGGTAATTGCTTGTGATGCAATCCTGAATGATTATTCTAAAAGAGTATGAGAAATAATTGTTCAAAGGGAATTGATTTCGTAACAGTCATTAGAGTTATTTAAATTTAATTAATTGTGTGATATTGCATCCATATTTTAATTTCTCGTCTGGTATCTTTACTTTAACTAAATCTCTCGTGGTATCGTAATTCTTGCCTGGTCTTTCGTTCTGTGTTCAACATTCAACAACTAAAATTTAGTTTTAAACAATTAAACATAAGTATACTTTAGCTATTAAAGAAAACTAATCTTCTCTATTCCGGGAAAAAATCCTGAGATTCATTACCGGCATAATTATATATATAACAATTAACTCTTATTTTATATATAACAACTTAACTTTACATTGTAGTAGTTTGCATGGCCAAGCGGATAAAGTTATGTCCAGAGAGTCCGGATATCTAGGTTCAAGTCTTTCCGAAGGGCCTAATTTTTTAATTTTTGTAAATTAAAATTTTTTTTATACATCAATACCAATTGATAAAGCTATACCCGTAATAACTGATAATCTTAACAATGACATAACTGATCTTAAAACAAGAACCAAATTAACACTTACTGACATCCACCAATTAATAGAACTAAATCTTAGTCAATGCTTTTTTTTGTATAAAAATGAAATTAGAACGATACTTAACTCAGGTCCAATTGGATTATCACTAATGGTTGTTATTGCCGAGGCATTCTTACAAAAATTGGAAACAAGAGCTCTACATATTGCAAAAATCAACAATTTTTCACCAAAATCTTATAGAAGGTATGTTGATGATAGCCATGTCAGATTTGAATCAGTTGAAAAGCATAACAAATTTCTTATTTTATTAAATCAACTAGACTCCAATATTCAGTATACGTCAGAGGTTGAAAATAATCAGAGAGAACTAAATTTTTTAGATATAAAAATAACTAACACACATAATTACCATTATGATTTCTATCGTAAAGAAGCAATAACAAACATATAAATAAAACCCGACTCAAATATCAACCCTGCAATTATTACTGGAGTTTTTAAAGGTTTCATATCACGAGCCACCAAAATCTGCTCCGAAAAATACATTAACAACAAGATTCAGTTTATAATAGATATGTTTGTTGAAAACGGTCATAAGAGATCAAATTTAGAAACAATTACCGCGAATTACATTTCAAGTAAAAACAATCCCAACAGTAAAGTTGCAAAAAAACTAAAGTTGCGATAATAAAGCTACCTTAGCTACCAACACTTGGACCAAAACTAGAAAAAGCTTTTAGAACATATAATGTCAAAGTTATTTTTACAACACCACCTAATTTAACCATTATTTAAGAAAATCGTAAAAAAGCAAAACAATTTTTGTTGACATCGTCTTTTTAATGGCTTCTTTATAATATTTAAACTTTAAATTGTAACGGTTTTTTAAATTTTATTTTACGTCCGATGATGGTCTATACAAATTAGAACGAAATATCACAAAAAAGAAAAATTATTTAGTACGATGCTGTTTTGAAGTTTTACAACTTATTTTAATTTTATGTACAATAAGAAATGTCGTTAAAACACTTAATCAAAAATGCAGTTTATTTTTTACGTTTTTACCCTATAACTATTATTGTTTATTAACTAAAAAATTAAAAAAAAAAATTAATTTATTCGATGGTGCAATAATTCATAAATTGACTGATTTTTAGGGAGAACGCTCAAAACACAGTGTACTAAATTGACCGCCAGGTTGTATATCTCCCTACTCTGAATTTTTTTTGTTTCATATATAAATACCTACTAACTATTCGTAAAAAACAAAAAATTTAAATTCACACCAATCAAAGGGTCATTTTTTGGTAATAATATTTTTGAAATTATTTAACTTATTTGACATTGTTTAGATGTAAAATTCACTGTATATGTCCCCAAAATTATTAAAATATTAATAGAAGAAAATCCTAAAACACCAGCGAAAGTACAGCAAAGGAAAAAACAACAAATGCACAATAGCCAAAGTATTGTAGATTGTTAAAAAAACAATAACTAAATCTCTTAAAAGCAATTGTACTTTTATTTTGTTAATAAATAATTCAATAAGTCACATTTTAATTTTTTTTGTTTTTGTTTTATGAGAGTCTCGATTCAAGACCATGAGATACTATACGACTCTTTTTATTATCGGTATCGTTTGGTATCGAAGCGATACTGATAGTGTCGACATTGGTACATAAGCGATACCATACGGTACGAGACCATCCTTCTCGGTATCAAGTAGTATCGAACCGATACTGATAGTATCGACATTGGTTACCACGCGATACGAGACCATTTTTGCTTGGTATTGACTTTTACGAAAATTAAGCAGCGGTGGATTCAATTTAAGGCTTGGGAGACTGGGGAGGTTTCAGCTTCGCTAGCAAACAACAAACCATCGTTTACCTGCTTTACAAGTTTGCCAGCTTTATGGCAGAAATTAAGACGTTTTCTTTTAGTATAATTTTTCTAATAACCAAAATTTTCACAGTCAATGGATTTTTAACTTTGTACGGTGTATCAAAACTAGGGGTGTACCGAAATGGGTTAGAGTCGATAACAAAAGTTTATACGAACCAAGAACTACAGCTCAAGAATTTATTATTATAGCTCACTTTCTAAAAAAATCCCTAAAACCAAATCTTTATTTACTGATTTTCTAGTACCCATTGATAATTGCATTGGTTCAGTTGAGTTGTCTTCTGAATTATTGTTTGAAGAGTTTGAAAGAGTCTTCAAATCGTTGAAAAAAAAAATAAAGCAATTGGAGCAGATCAAATAAATGGAAACGTTATTATAGATTGTTTTAAACAGCTAAAAGCTTTTAAAGCTTCTATTCATCAAGGTGTTTTCCCCGAACTGTTAAAAATTGCCAAAATTATTCCTATTTTCAAAGAAGGGGAGAAATCAATTATTAGTAACTATCGTCCTATTTCTGTTCTTTCCACATTTTCAAAAATTTTAGAAAGAATTATATACAACAGAGTATACAAATATTTTCATGTTAATAAATTACTTTACATTAGCCAATTCGGTTTTAAAAAGGATAGCTCAACTGAACATGCAATTATCCAGTTTGTACTTGAAATCTCAAAATCATTTGAAAAATCACAATATACTCTAGGACTTTTTATTGACCTATCAAAAGTTTTTGATACGGTTGATCGCCAAATTTTAATCTATAAACTTAAACACTATGGAATAAAAAATAAAGTTTTAAAATGGTTTGAAAGCTAATTGTCAAATCGTAAACAATTTGTTCCGAGTAATGACGGTTATCATACCAATTGTCTTTCTATAACATGTGGAGTCCCACAAGGCTCAATTCTTGGCCCACTCCTTTTCCTAATTTATATTAATGATTTAAATAAAGCCTCTAAACTAACAAGTATTATGTTTGCAGATGATACTAACTTATTCCTTTCTAACAGTGATATCTTTGAGCTTTTTAAAACAATGAACAAAGAGCTTAGACATGTATCGAGTTGGTTTAAATGTAACAAGTCAACTCTAAATACTAATAAAACAAAGTGCACCTTATTCCATTCGCTTTCCAAAAAACGGTATTTCCCATTAAACTTACCTAAAATTTTTATTGATCAAATTGAAA